GATATCATGTCGCGGGTAGTATAATCTGTCTATGTCTACAACAACAAAATACGTGATATCATGTCGCGGGTAGTATAATCTGTCCATGTCTACAACAACAAAATACGTGATATAATGTCGCGGGTAGTAATCTGTCCACTTCTACAACAACAAAATTTGTGATATCATGTCGCGGGTAGTGTAATCTGTCCATGTCTACAACAACAAAATACGTGATATCATGTCGCTGGTAGTAATATGTCCATGTCTACAACAACTAAATATGTGATATCATGTCGCTGGTAGTAATCTGTCCACTTCTACAACAACTAAACGTGTGATATCATATCGCTGGTAGTAATCTGTCCACTTCTACAACAACTAAACGTGTGATATCATATCGCTGGTAGTAATCTGTCCACTTCTACAACAACTAAATATGTGATATCATATCGTTGGTAGTAATCTGTCCACTTCTACAACAACAAAATATGTGGTATCATATCGCTGGTAGTAATCTGTCCACTTCTACAACAACAAAACGTGTGATATCATATCGCTGGTAGTAATCTGTCCACTTCTACAACAACTAAATATGTGATATCATGTCGCGGGTAGTAATCTGTCCATGTCTACAACAACAAAACGTGTGATATCATGTCGCGGGTAGTGTAATCTGTCCATGTCTACAACAACAAAATACGTGATATCATGTCGCGGGTAGTAATCTGTCCATTTCTACAACAACAAAATTTGTGATATCATGTCGCTGGTAGTAACTGTACAGATATACAGATATATTCTATATTAAGGGTATCATTCCTCTTTATAGATATTTCGTCTAAGTATCTCATGAAGTATTTGAGTAAATTATATCGTCGTATTTTTCAATACTACAACACAATAAATATATGCTACTTTTGTCTTCACAACTCTGATCACTATAAATATGAAACAAATAATGAAACTTGAGATAGTGAGTGCAGTAGAGTAAAGATGGCTTCCTAGTTACATCCACTAACATTTTAAAACATATTGAGAAGAAAAGTTATTTTTATATATCAATGGGTCGTGAAAACCTGGTATTCGGAAACCCGAACATATTCTTCAATCGTTTAGTTAGGTTTTAGGTTAGTCTCTCACTGAAAATACAAAGATTTGGACTATTTAGGGTGTTCTGTCACATACGATATAAATAATTAGATTACCCAGGGTGTTCTGTCACATACGATATAAATACTTAGATTACCCAGGGTGTTCTGTCATATATGATATTAATACTTAGATTACCCAGAGTGTTTTGTCATATATGATATTAATATTTCTAAGTATTTATATCAGTATATGACAAAACACCCTGGGTAATCTATATCATATATGACAGAACACCCTGGGTAATAAATATTTAGATTACCCAGGGTGTTCTGTCATATATGATATAAATATTTAGATTACCCAGGGTGTTTTGTCATATATGATATAAATATTTAGATTACCCAGGGTGTTCTGTCATATATGATATAAATATTTAGATTACCCGCGGTGTTTTGTCGTATTTAATATAAATATTTAGATTACCCATGAAATTTTTCGTCAGTCATCACCTATTGAAGATTTTTTAAAACGGACCTCTCTCATACCTTTTACAAATATTTAAATTAAACTTTTCCTGTAAATTGTACAGATAAATGATGTTAAATAAACTGTAAACAGCTGTTTGGAGACGGCTTGACTGGCTAATGGAGAAAACTTCTCTATATATGTACGACATTTCGACAAGATTTTGTCATCCTCAGGTACATAATCTTCTCGAAACGTCTTACAGTTATAATAAAGTTTTCTCCATTGCCCAGTCAAGCCGTCTCCAAACTTTTATTTTCCAAAAAGTGGTTTCCACGTCATCAAATCTAAACAGCTGTGTTTTATGAGAAAAACGCGAGTGTGTTTTTCGGTTTAGTGAACCCGAAGAAAGAAAACGTTTTACCATAAACGCTAAAAGAAATTGAGTTTTTTGGACGTAGAAAATCAATACTATTCAAGTTAAGCCTATTTTAACAAATATTCTAATCCCCCTCCTTAGACAAATCATAATTTTAACAAAGTTCAGGCTTACCTGTGTTATCCAGCAACTTGTGGTAAGTATGTGTCTTCTCTCATCCTAAGAAAAGACGGTTTATATAGAATTAACTTTCTACTTAACAGCGGGAAAGACGGAAAAAGGTTTTCAGGAAACATGGGGGAAATTATTTCAATCAAATAGTCTACATTTCGAACAAAAGCAAAAAATATATAAGCTTGATTTTTTTTCCTTTAATGATTCTAAAACTAACTGAACAAGTATACATTCTCCCTCACATACTTCTGTTAATATGTCGAGATAACGTGTTCTAAAATACAGTTACCTAAAATCACTACAATGTAACGTGTTCTAAAATACAGTTACCTAAAATCACTACAATGTAACGTTTTCTAAAGTACAGTTACCTAAAATCACTACAATGTAACGTTTTCTAAAATACAGTTACCTAAAATCCCTACAATGTAACGTGTTCTAAAGTACAGTTATCTAAAATCACTACAATGTAACGTGTTCTAAAATACAGTTACCTAAAATCACTACAATGTAACGTGTTCTAAAGTACAGTTACCTAAAATCACTACAATGTAACGTTTCTAACGTACAGTTATCTAAAATCACTACAATGTAACGTGTTCTAATATACAGTTACCTAAAATCACTATAATGTAACGTGTTCTAAAATACAGTTACCTAAAATCACTACAATGTAACGTGTTCTAATATACAGTTACCTTAACATCCTATGTACTTAAATGTTTGAAATTCTAATAGTAATTCTGTGAGTTCCTCAGAGAAAGTAACTAAATAAATATTAAAACACTATACAGAGATCCATCATAAAATAACATGGAGACTATAAAACTGACAAGGCATGGAGACTATAAAAACAACATGGAGACTATAAAAATAACATGGGGACTATAAAGATAACATGGGGACAATAAAGATAACATGGGGACTATAAAACTGACAAGGCATGGAGACTATAAAAACAACATGGAGACTATAAAAATAACATGGGGACTATAAAGATAACATGGGGACTATAAAGATAACATGGAGACTATAAAAACAACATGGAGACTATAAAAATAACATGGGGACTATAAAACTGACAAGGCATGGAGATTATAAAACTGACAAGGCATGGAGATTATAAAACTGACAAGGCATGGAGACTATGACACTAACATGGAGACTGTAAAAATAACATGGAGACTATGACACTAACATGGAGACTGTAAAAATAACATGGAGACTATAAAACTATCATGGAGACTGTAAAAATAACATGAAGACTATAAAACTATCATGGAGACTGTAAAAATAACATGGAGACTATAAAACTGACACGGAGACTGTAAAAATAACATGGAGACTATAAAAATAACACGGAGACTATAAAACTAACACGGAGACTATAAAAACAACATGGAGACTATGAAACTAACATGGAGACTATGAAACTAACATGGAGACTATAAAAATAACATGGGGACTATGAAACTAACATGGAGACTATAAAAATAACATGGAGACTATAAAATTAACACGGAGACTGCAAAACTAACATGGAGACTATAAAAATAACATGGGGACTATGAAACTAACACGGAGACTATAAAAATAACATGGGGACTATAAAAATAACACGGAGACTGTAAAAATAACATGGAGACTATAAAAATAACATGGGGACTATGAAACTAACACGGAGACTGTAAAAATAACATGGAGACTATAAAAATAACATGGAGACTATATAACTAACACGCCATGGAAACGATATAAATAACATGAAGACTTTAAAACTAACACGCCATGGAGACTATAAAAAATAAAACGTGTGTGTTGTTAGAATTTCCATTTTTACAGGTGACCACCTTGAACGATCAGTTAAAGACGTTCTCTCTGACAAACGGAACTCGGTTATTGCCAGATGTTATATTTCCAGTGAATAACTTACCACATCAATCACTTGATGAAGAGATAGGTCAAAGGTCATACGGAGAGGAAGTGAGGCGTTATGGGAAGGACGGACGGCCAAGTCATAATTCGACATGAGATACCGAGTAAGGCGATATTCTTGTTCGTCGGCGAGAATGTGGTTAACTGAAGAAGGATGAAAAACAACAATGAAGTTATAATAAAATCACATCTTCCTACAGAATGTGGTTAACTGAAGAAGGATGAAAAACAAGAATGAAGTTATAATAAAACCAAATCTTCCTACAGAATGTGGTTAACTGAAGAAGGATGAAAAACAACAATGAAGTTATAATAAAATCGCATCTTCCTACAGAATGTGGTTAACTGAAGAAGGATGAAAAACAACAATGAAGTTATAATAAAATCGCATCTTCCTACAGAATGTGGTTAACTGAAGAAGGATGAAAAACAACAATGAAGTTATAATAAAATCACATCTTCCTACGAATGTGGTTAACTGAAGAAGGATGAAAAACAAGAATGAAGTTATAATAAAATCACATCTTCCTACAGAATGTGGTTAACTGAAGAAGGATGAAAAACAACAATGAAGTTATAATAAAATCGCATCTTACAAGAGAATATGTGCAAGCATAGAATATAAAACTGAATTTTAAGCTAATGTTGCATTAATTAAATAAGCTTCATTTTTACCTTAGCCAAGCTTGTTTAACATAATAAAACTAGTAATATAACTGGGTTTGGTAATAGAAATAATAACCTAAGAAAGTAAAAACAGTATAATTTAATATATCAACTCTATTAAGTAGTCACACAAGAACATTACGTATCAACTGAAGGAAATATTCACACAGGAATATCATATATCAACTGAAGGAAATATTCATACAGGAATATCATATATATTCACACAGGAATATCATATATCAACTGAAGGAAATATTCACACAGGAATATGACATACTGAAGGAAGTATTCATTCAGGAATATGACATATCAACTGAAGGAAGTATTCATTCAGGAATATGACATATCAACTGAAGGAATTATTCATTCAGGAATATGACATATCAACTGAAGGAATTATTCATACAGGAATATCACATATTAACTGAAGGAAGTATTCATTCAGGAATATGACATATCAACTGAAGGACATATTCATACAGGAATATGACATATCAACTGAAGGACATATTCATACAGGAATATGACATATTAACTGAAGGAATTATTCATACAGGAATATCACATATTAACTGAAGGAATTACTCATACAGGAATATCACATATTAACTGAAGGAATTATTCATACAGGAATATCACATATTAACTGAAGGAATTATTCATACAGGAATATCACATATAAACTGAAAAAATATTCATACAGAAATATCACATCTAAACTGAAAAAATATCCATACAGGAATATCACATCTAAACCGAACAAAATATTTACACAGGATTCGATACATCAACTTAAAGAAATAGTGACACAGGAATATTTTATCAACTGAAGAAAACGTTCACAAAATGTGCAAAACAACTACATAAGAATATTGCACAAATAAAATAAAACATTCACACACAAATATTACACATTAAGTGAAGAAAATAATTACACACGAATATTACACATTAAGTGAAGAAAATAATTACACACGAATATTACACATTAAGTGAAGAAAATAATTACACACGAATATTACACATTAAGTGAAGAAAATAATTACACACGAATATAACACATTAAGTGAAGAAAATAATTACACACGAATATTACACATTAAGTGAAGAAAATAATTACACACGAATATTACACATTAAGTGAAGAAAATAATTACACACGAATATTACATACGGAGTAAAGACTACAGTACAAAATATTTTATATAAACCAAAGCAACTTGTCGCGGAGAATATTTCGTCAAATAGAAAAATCAAAATAAATAAATACAATAGTCGTACCACAATATTAGATATGAAATGAATAAAATAATTCACATGAGTATTAACAACAATTAAAGAAAATTAAAAGATGAGGCACAAATATTATAATATATAAAACTTCATATTTCAATCTAACTTGTAATAAACAATATTGTTAGCTACCTTGTGGAGTACAGTATTGTTAACGATTTTGTAACAAACAATATTGTTATCTATCTTTTGGGGTACAGTATTGTTAACTATTTTGTAATAAACAATATTGTTATCTATCTTGTGAAGTACAGTATTGTTATCTATCTTGTGGAGTATAGTATTGTTATCTATCTTGTGAAGTACAGTATTGTTATATATCTTGTGGAGTATAGTATTGTTAACTATTTTGTAACAAACAATATTGTTATCTATCTTGTGAAGTACAGTATTGTTATCTATCTTGTGGAGTATAGTATTGTTAACTATTTTGTAACAAACAATATTGTTATGTATTTTGTAGAGTACAGTATTGTTAACTATTTTGTAATAAACAATATTGTTATCTATCTTGTGGAGTACAGTATTGTTAACTATTTTGTAACAAACAATATTGTTAT